CACATTAGTTGCTATGAAGAGAATATCTGGATATTCATGTTGAGAATCGATCAGTTCAGGGATGTTAGGGATTTTCACGAGGGATGTATAGGCTATGTATCGGTGATATTAAATAAGCATATATCAAATGATGTTGGATATTTTAAATGCACACTGCAAAAAAAAAAAGACTTTCTTCTTCAGTATTTCTCTTGTTTTTCAGCACAAATGTTTCTCTCTGGTGCTCTTCGCAAGTCGGTCAATTCATTAACATTTATTTCAATGAAATTAATGTATATTTTAGTTCGATAATGTTTTTTTATTTAATATTTTTAGTGGATTTTATGGTACTAAGTTATATTTACACTGTATTTATAATCCATGTATTCACTTTTTGAGCATAGACCTCTGGAAATTAAATGCCCAACTTAAACTGTGGTAAATCTTAAACCCTTTAGAGGACAGACTGAAGTTTGATCTCTTCTCAAAGAGACACTTGGCAGATTATTGCTGAAGTGAAAACAGTTTTAAAAAGAGAACTTAAAAAAGGTATAGCCTACAGAATTTTTCGTTTATTGTTATGAAAAATGTGCAAAAATACTATTTTCAATTTTTATATGAAGTATATTTTTTCAAAAACGTTTTACTCTAAAACGGTGAGAAAATCAAAGCCATAAATCTAAACAAGTTGTGTTTAAAATGTGAGTCTGATCTCTCAGTATATGAGCGTTCAGTGAGAGTGTGTTCGGCTGCAGTTCCACACGCTTCCACTAGAGGAAACTCTCATTCATTTACAATGCGTCATTTCTGAGCGCGAGCAGCACAAGTGTGTGTGACTGTTGCTTTCAGGACCATTAAACCTGTTCGGATCATGTACATGATTTTGTTTGTGTTCACAAAGCAAGTGCCAAAACCTTTCGTACCATTCCGATGAAAAAAAAAAAAAAGTAAACCTTTTCGGTCAAAAATGACCAAAGAGCACTAAGACATTTAGATGAGCCGATCCTCCCTATACGCACAGTCGCACACTAGGCAAGGTTGCGTAGGGCCCCGCAAATTACTCAAGGCCCCTCCTCGTGTCAAAGAGCGTCAATCAAAGTTTACAACATCGATGAGATAATTAAGCGGACCTATCCTTCTGGTCACGAAAAGAGAGACTGAGAGAAAAACACCATGTGAGTGAATTGCGGGAACAGCGATCAGGCAGACTTGTTTTTGCGTGTATATGATACGCACTTTTTGGCGTGTAATACGCACTCCACACCCCTAATCCTACCCAAGAGATTTACAGTGCGTATAAGCATATGCAAAAACCATTTTGGCGTATAAATAGCACGAGAAATTAAATTCGTGGTAGGCCTATCGATAAGCACTTTCATGAGATTACGTTTGATAATACAAAGGGCAACGGTGTTTATTTATAAACTGCAGCTCGGGAAAGATAACCGCCTCGCGCGTTAACATGAGTTCATATGCGCGTGCACGAAATGAAACGTGCACTTTCCAGTAAAACATCTATGGGGACCAGTTACCACATACCTGTCAACACTCCCGTTTTTCCCGGGTTTCTCCCGTTTTTTAGCCCTATCTCCCGGACCCCTCCCGGTTTGTTATTTCTCCCGGGAAACTCCCGTAATTTGCACGGCCCAAACTCCTTTATGAATAATCGGACCAATATGTTTGTCTAATGTTGACCAGTTGCCAGATCTTGTATTAAATGCATTATATTCACACAATTAGGGGTGTAACGGTACATGTATTCGTATTGAACCGTTTCGGTACGAGGCTTCCGTTTCAGTACGCATGCAAACCAAACGATTCCTTGGACCATTTTTCCTGCCGACAAAATCCGCGCTGGCGCGATCACCACAACGTCAAATGGCAAACGTAATGAAAGCGGAACTGCATTATATTGTGCTTCACGGATCGTTTATCAGTTCGGACCAGCAGCATCTGTGCAGCGCGAGCCGATCTCATAGACAGTTAAAGAAGTGGACAGAGCCTCTCATTGGAACTCAGTTGAGGCAGTTGAAGCCCATTTTTTTAGCGATTTCTGAGCACTTCCGTTCCTGACGCGCAGACTCAGACCGACTCAAACTAAGCTTGATGACGTGAGCAACCTGTCTGACAGACGTTACTCTTCTAGTAGCTGTGCGTGAAAACTGCCAACGTTAATCTTGCAGAGACGGGGAACTTGAGCAAAGAGTTCTTTGGCGTGAGTGAGCAGGAGTAAGTATTCCGTTGCTTTTATGGACTCATTATCTATGGGCTTCTCCCTTGACGGGACGTCCCCCGATCGCCTTGAGCTTCTCCTCCTGTCTGTACGGTACTTTCTGTACAGCGCGACAGAGAGTCGAGTGGTTATGACGCAATCGTTAGCCTATTTTTACTAAATCTGTTTCTACGGGGCCATAGTGTAACATAGAAGGTAATGGAGGTCTGTATACATTGTCGTGTTTCTTTAGAAATAAATAATGGACAAATGGAGTCTTTAAACGCCTCAGATGTAAAGTTATTCGCTGTCAAAGTGACGCAAAAATGAATGGGAGTCAATGGAAATGCTAACGCAAGTGAAGTTCTGCTACAACATGGCGGCACCCGGCCGGCTTCAACTTCCGGTCGATGGATTACCCCCTTGGCCGATCTCGATCAAGCGACACTGTTATACACAACGCCAAGAGATCCAGTGAAGAAAACATTTGAATTCGCCACTGAAGTAATAACATCGCTGCGAGATCTAGTGAGAAGCATTCAGATTTCTCCATTATTAACTGTAGATCTCTATTAGATCAAACAGCGCTGACGTGAAAACCAGGAGAAACATTGTGCCGTGAATGAACTAGTTATATAGACTTCACTTTAGTCAACAGATCAGCAACATTCACCATGGATTTAATATAGTAACACTAACTGTAACCATGGAAGTTTGGCTGGAATAGTGAAATGCTTTCAAGTACTTCACACATCTTTTCCCAGCACTTCAAAACTCAAATATTATCTAAATATTATAGGCTATATAAATATAGGCCTATATTTAAATGTTATGTGATGACCAAAACATTATTTGTTCATCCTTCAAAGATTACCCCCATTTATAAACCTGAACGTTTCAAGATGTAGGAAAACTCAAACTTATTTAAAAATAATTTTTCTTCTTAATAAATAGGAAATTTCTCTGGCATTTTCTTTCTTTTTGCTGTATCGAAAATGTACTGAACCGTTACACCCCTACACACAATCCACACATCATATACAATGTCCAATGTCAACTCGTTTGTCATCTCAACCTGGCAACCTGTACCCCAGTTGCGCAGTCGCACCCCCCCAAATCTCCCGGATTTTGAAAACCAAATGTTGACAGCTATGAGTTACCAGTACAATATGGGCGTGATGCCATTAGGCGCTCATACTTTTAAAACAAGACAATGATTATCTAATATCTAGTCTCCAAGGCAGTTTAGTTACAACTCTGCAATAAAGCAAGATGGAAAGCAATCTATTGACATTGACTATATTGCAGTTAAAATGTTGATTGGCTGGACACTGGTCAATACGGATGCACATCCCTCAGTAAATAATAACCATCAAGTATTGCTTTTATCATTTAAAACACAGTGACATGCAATGGCAAGCCATTTTAGCTTTTATTAATTCACAGGATGCATTTTTGATATCAATAATTAAATACTAGCTATTTAAAATGTGAATTATTGATATTAGTATAAAATATGTCTATTTCTGATATCAGGAATTACATTTTCACTAGTGCTAACTAAACGAGGGAGGATTGTAGTGGGAGCACTGGGGTGTCAGGTGTGACTGTGGGAATGGCGACTGGTTTGCATGGCTCAGGAGGACCCCTTAACAGAGTTTTGCTTAGGGCCCCAGAGAGGTCAGGATCGGCTCTGTGTGTGAGTGTGTGTGTGTCCTTCAGGTGTGTGTGATTGTGTGGAGGACAGAAAGTTCAGTTTAGCATTACAATAGATGGCAGAGGTCAGAGCTGTTCATTCGCACACAAAGAGAGTTCAGCCTTGTGTCGCTGTTTTAAACTCCTGCGCTTCAATAACACTGAACACACACACACACACTGAACACACACACACACACTGAACTCAAGGATTCCTCATTCTGCAGAAAACAGCCTGAGATCCAACGCCGAACACGACCACTCAGAGTCTAGGCGGAAAGAGTCTCTTCTGCTCACAAGGCTGTGGTCATTTCATCAAAAAATACTGTAAAAATAGTGAAATATTATTGTAATGTAAATCATCTGTTTTCTATGTGAATATACAGTAAAGTGTAATTTATTCCTGTGATTTTCAGCATCATTACTCCAGTCTTCAGTGTCACATGATCCTTCAGAAATCACTCTAATATGATGATCTGATGCTCAAGAAACATTCATGATTATTATCAATGTTCAAAACAGTGATGGATTTATTTTTTTAAGATTCTTTGATGAAAAGAAAGTTCAAAACTGAATTTATATGAAATCAAATGTTTTGTAACATTATGTCTTTACTGTCACTTTTGATCAATTTAATGCGTCATTGGTGAATTAATGTTAAAAGAAATCTTACAATCACAAACTTTTAAACAGTAGTGCACATTAAAACAGGGTTATCTAAAATCCATTTCATATATATTGGCATATTCATATTGATATAGTCACAACAAGGACACATTCATCTATTCATCAAAGACTCCACAAAAAAGTGTTTTCAACATTGATAAACATCATAAATATTATAAATTCAGCTTTGTTCACATTACACTTTACTATATATATTCACACAGAAAACAGCTGTTTTACATTATAATAATATTTTCACTATTTTTACATCAAATAAACAGCCTTGGTGAGCAGAAGAGACTCTTCTTTTTAAAAAAAATTCCCCAAAGTTTTGAATGATTTTGTATATAAACAAGACATTTTCACATTTAATGTATTTTAGATACACAATATTAACACACACACACATATATATACACCTAGAATATACCTGCAGTTATTAAACAGAACAAATTCCTTTTCTTTTTCAACAATTTTTAATGAAAATTATACACAAAGTCTGCGATTGAATGATCTCATGATGAATCCTCGGTGTGTTTCAGTGATGCACTCGTGTGACGTCGCCGCCGGATGCAGATGTGCCACATGTGGGACACGTGATCTCCAGCGTCTGGGAGTCGCACGGGCGTTTCTGCCGCAGACACGGTCCACACGTGAGATGAGCGCAGGGCAGAGCGTACGACGGGACGCTGGAGGAATACACCGACAACGAACACGAGCAAAACACACACGCGTGCGGTCCTGGAAAACAGAGAGAAGCGAAGCAGTTCAGAGAGATCAGCAAGGTCACGATGAATACAGCAAACATGCTTAGAGATCATTTACTGTAACAAGATAGCATCATCACATGACCATCAACATTTAAAAGTCAATCATTTTATCCCTTAAAACTCATCTTTCATCACCAAAATGACATATTTAAACGTTTTTTCCTTGAAATATCTTGAATGTAACTCGACACCTTCGCCTCATTTAGTATGCGTGGTTCTATGAATATGCAGATGAGCCCCGCCTCCACTCACTCACTCAGCTCAGAGATCCACTGGTTGACGATCACACGTTGATCTGATTGGTTACAAGGTCGTTTGTGACGTCAGAAACACCAGCGATTTCAAACCGTGTTTTTGAGACTGTCTTTGGTTCACTGCAGTTTTAAGCAGAAAATACTCACCAATGCTGTCGACTTATGAACTTACACATGGTTTAAGCGTATTAAAAACACCACATAGACACATAAACAACATTAAACGCTGGATTTACACCACAGGGGGACTTTAAATATTGACATTTTAACCCAATCACAGGCGAAGAGCAGGAGGTCGAACAGAGATAAGAGTGAAATATGGGAAAGTCTGTCATGCATTGGGAACATGTAGACATTCTGGATTCAAACGTCAATAATATCACAGACTAATCCTGTAAATGCTGAAAATACTGTGTACAACCCCATGAGAAACAATAACCATCCGAATAGGGCTTTTGACTGTTTATTACAGTGAAGCTGTTTTGAAACAATCTGTACTGTATGAACCACTACATGTATGTCTCAGTCTCATACCAGTGGAAGCGTCCACACGGGAAGAGGTTCTGCTGGGTGAAGTGAACACTGGTAACCCGTGAAGCGCAGCGTTCAGCGCCTGATCTAAACTGTCTGCTAACCGCCGCTCATGCGAGTCCGACTCTGAAACACAAGGAGAAATACATCAGACATGAGCAAAACATGCGTCAGAAACCTCGTCCCTATTGTGTCGTGTATCCAAGCGAAACGCTTCTGGAACGAGAACAAATGTGGGCGGGGCTTGATTTTGCCTGTGTGGAGTTGATTGGATGGTTGTGGTTTGCTATTGGCTGATCTCATGTGAGTGACAGGTTGCCCCGCCCACATCATCAGAGAAGAGATGCTGCAAGAGGGAGTTATTCTGATTCAAGATGACCACAAAGATGAATTTAACACAATAATGATGATAAATCGTTTAGAATAAACATTAAAAATTGCATTAAAAAAAATTCCGAAATGAGTCGATTCCAAAAATGTGGTGGATTCTGTGAACAGTTAAGCCCCGCCTCCTTTTGCTCTGATTGGCCATCTCAATTATTTTGACATTGATGAGCACCGAGACAAAAAATGAGCTATTTAGACTTTTTGTCTAAAGGACCGAAATTCGCGTCCAAAATTTTCGCACGTTAAAAAATAAATACAACCTCATGTTTTGTGAATGACGTTTACACACCGCCTACGAAATTTTCGTCCGTCATAAAAAAAATTCGGATCGGGTTCGATTTTCTGCTTTTTTCGCATCCGTAGCTCAAGCATTTTGAATGGTGTTTTGACAAATCACCGAATCATGAATACGAAAAAACGCATACGAAAATTTCAGACTCAGTGTGCAAGTAGCTTACCAATACAGAGAGGAGTGCAGTCATTAATGCAACAATTTGATTGTTCAGAGGAATCTGTCCTTCTCAGTGTTTATGGTAGTTATGATCCTGTCAGAAACAATGCGTGTGTCTTAAGCCCGTCTCTCTCATGAATCCCACACGGAAGTGAGTTAAACTGCAGTTCCTCCACTGGCCACTAGAGGCCGGCTGCAGAAGAGACTCAATCCCATAGACCTCCATGTTAAAATGCCCAACTTTACAGCAGAAAAACACATGTTTACAGCCTGGTGCAAAATAGTGTTGTCGGTACTGACATTTAAATAATGTGAGGCTTTGAGCGAAATCGTAAACACCTCTGATTGGCCATTGTGCTCACGCGCTCATCAAATATGTCTGTGATTGGCTACAATGATCAGCGCTTCAAAAACATGTTGTAAGTATACATCACTGACGCTCTTCAGCGAGCGCTTACACACACGGGAGCGTTTGAAAGCACACTTCCGTGCGTTGATCATTGTAGCCAATCACAGACATATCCGATGAGCGCGTGAACACAATGGCCAATCAGAGGAGTTTACGATCCCACTCAACAGCGCTCAAAGTCTCACGTTTTTTAAATACATTTTTTTAATTCTAAAAGTGGTTTTGGTCTATATAGCTAATTTTGCCCTTCATGACGACAGTGGGTGGGGGGGGGGGATTTTTTTATAACTCATCCATTTAAATTCTATTTAACGCCCACAGATCATGACAGACAGGCCCCGCCCACAACATTTCACGGCGCCAAGCGAGTTCAACACTGAAGTGAGTTAAACTGCAGTTCCTCCACTGGCCACTAGAGGCCGGCTGCAGAAGAGACTCAATCCCATAGACCTCCATGTTAAAATGCCCAACTTTACAGCAGAAAAACACATGTTTACAGTCTGGTGCAAAAAGTGGTTTCGGTCTATATCGCTAATGTTGCCCTTCATGACGACTGTGAGGGGGCTGAATATTTTTATAACTCATTCGTTTACATTATAATAAGCCTTAAAGTTCTGCATAATTAAGGGCGTGGCCACTTGAGTGACAGGTGGATTGCCGCTGATGTCACTGCTAGCCGTTTGTCTGCTGTGTGTTAGCGTCACGTCACCTCAGCTAATCCGCCTCGCTGCACATTTACGTTTATCCGCGAGTGACGCGCGGCCAAGATGGCGACCGACGGCTCCGCCCACTTTAGGCTTCAAAAACGCTCTTCAGAAACACTACGAACGTATTTATTTACAGTCCTAATTCATCTACATAGTGCAGAGTATCAGTGAGTTGTGTGATTTGTGACAGTCAAACCTGAGTGAGTTTGGAGAGTCGGAGGACGACCGGGATCAGCGCTAGTCGAGGGAAAGCTGGAGTCGTACTTTCTTTTAGCAGAACGGCTAGTCGATCCTGAAACGGATCCATGAAATCTTAAAGTTTCTGTGTTTCTACTGGAGTCTGTGGCGGTTTTAACCTCTGCAAGTCTTGACGGTTGTGGTTTAGCTAGTGGATTACTCCTGCTCCCGACTCCTGTGCATCCCGTCTGCAGAGCCAAGCGGTCAATACGGGTTTTTAAGAGAGGATTCGGAAGAGGTTTTGAGCTTTGGGAAAAAGGAATGCCGGTAAACGGGTCGTTGGGAAGACGACCCCACGTCGCTTCTCTCTTCCAATACTCCTCTAAAGTGCTGTTATCTATGATCACTCCGCTAGGCAGGATCATCGGGAAAACCATGAGTTCTTGTGTAAGCGGATCTAGGAATTCCTCTGGGATTGGGATGTCGTCTGTGATATTCCCAGTTGGTTTGGGAGGAGCTGCAATCGTATGGTTTGTGCGTTTAACGCTGTTTAGATGTGCATCCAGGATTTTTCCAAGTTCAAAAGCAGGACAGGATCGGGAAGGAGACGCCCAAACGGAAAGGGATTTGATTCCCAACACACACCCTTTGCTGAAGGGAACGCTGATTCTGAGATGAGCGACGGATACGAGTGATCCGCGACTCCAGAGATTTAGCGCTTTAGCTTCGGATTCCGGCGCGGGAGGAAGATCGGAAAACGGATCTCGCGGTTTGAACGCAGGATTTAGGAAACACACTCGGAGCTCCTCTTGTAAATCGCTCCGAGACACGAGCTGGAAACGAACGCCGTCTCGGTCCGAACAGACTAGGATCTCGATCCTACAGGAGCTCCGGCCCGGATCGGTTCCCGAGGGAAAGAGCTCGAGGTCGAGGCGACACAGATCCACACACACCGGGAAGCTCAGCGTCACGTGGACGGGAGGACGGAGGAAGTACTCGAGCTTGAACCCGCGCCGGCGAGCGATCGGGTCTCCGGAGAGAAGGTTCGAGACGTCGTGTCCGTCGGCACACAGCTGCGGGAGAGGAACACACACACACACACACGTCATATATGTATTCTTGGTAGAGAACATTGGAAGGTCAGATCAGACGCGCACAAGACTCTCGGCCGTCGAGACACAATGCAGTCAGAGCTTTATTACTCATGATCATTTCAGAGGCGTTTTAAAGGGAAAGTTGGAGAATATGTCATTATTTACACACTCTCACATTCTCTCTCACACTCTCAAACACACACAGACACACACACACTCTTTTTTTCTTTCTTTCTCTCTATCACACACTCACACACACTCTCTCTTTCTCTCTCACACACACACTCTCTCTTTCTGTCACACACACTCACATTCTCTCTCACTCACACAAACAAACACACACACACACACACATTCTCTTATACACTCACAGATACACATTCTCTCTCTCTCTCACACACACACACACACAATCTCTCTCTCTCTCTCTCTCACACACGCACTCACAATCTCTCTCTCTCTCTCACACACACACTCACATTCTCTCTCACTCACACAAACAAACACACACACACACACACACACACATTCTCTTATACACTCACAGATACACATTCTCTCTCACACACACACATACACACAATCTCTCTCTCTCACACACACACACACACACAATCTCTCTCTCTCACACACACTCACTTGCACACACACACTCACTTGCACACTAA